ACTAAGATTCAAAATAATATCAACGATTCATCTGATCCTTCTCAAGAAGATCTTGTATAATATATTGAATCATGTATAAATAAAATAACTTATATTGATAACACAAATGCGTACCTACCACAACAAATAAAATGTTACGATAATTTTTAAAATTAATACTTGAAGAATATTACAGTCTACAATACTGATTACAAAGTTGGAATTTAACGAGTTAAAAATAATTTTTGACTAAATTAAATAACTCCAGTGCCACAGAAACCACCGGTGCAAGCGGTGCATTGAACCGGGACTTTTGATCGTGTAAGAGCCCTACCGATTATCTAATAAGTGATAATGTGATCAAAAATATTTAATACAACAAAGAAAAAATAAAATCATGTGAAATGTGAATTATAAATTTATAATATTATTAGATGGTGAATAATAGAATGGTACCTATTTTTAGTTATTATGTAGGTAGACACGTAGACGATAATAATTACATACCTATAGTGTCCTTGGCATGAGATGCAGAAACCTGTGATATTTCTGGCTTGCAACGATCAGCGACTCCGTCAGTTTCGGCGGCTGCAACTCATTAGCGTAAAATATGACCCAAATACAACCCAAAAGCGCAAAAATAAATATTCCATAAACACAAAAAAAAAATAAAAAAAATACCTTTTTAACAAACCATAAGCGCAAGTAAATTGTACAAAAATAAGTATATTTTATAAGTTAGAAATGAGTTTATACTGTATATATATATATATATTAATATATTACATAATATTTATCTTAAATAATTATCTACTTTCACCATAATTCGTTACGATAAAATACGATACGATAATAGGTAGGTACTTAACTTCAACTGAACTCGATTACTGTTGGTAAATTTTATATAATTATAAAAATACTGCATATTTGATTAAGATGGAAACAATATTTATTTTTGCGCTTTTATCACACTACCAATAATATCGTATACAAAAGTGCAAATTAAATTTGTGCTTTTGGTCTATCGAAAAAAATAAAAGATTTGCGCTTTTGAGTTTCACCGGTTTCGGCTCGCGTTAACACGATTACCTACTTTAAATCGTGTCATGTGTCTTTAGATTTCATATCAATTAGGTAGTTAAATAGGTATCTCCTTATCGATTATAACTTTATTTATAAGTGTCGTTGACAACGACTCGTCATTCATTCGATAATCCGCATGCCGCATGGATCTACAATCTTGAATCTACAGTCTTGTTCTAGTGTAGGTACGAGTATCACTTATTTTTATTCGGATTAAAAGTATTTACCAAAAAACAATCGAGTGGATGTGAAAAACGAAAAAAAAAAGAAACAAAAGGAAGAAAATATTTCAAAGCTTCTCAAAATAAGTGATTTTTGTACAAAAACAAGTGGATTGCCAATCAACAGTATGTATTCAACTATTATATTTTATTAATAAATATGAAAGATGCATAAAATAATGAAAATTTTTACTTACGAGTACATTTCATGTTTATTGAAAATAACTACTCAGTGAGTTATTATTAAATTGTAAAATAATACCAAGTTATTAATATATTATAGTATTAGTTTTTATAAGATAATATCATGTATTTAGTTTTTTTCTATGTGTGTATTCATGGGCGCCCATAGGTAATATTTTAGGGGGGTCAAAATAAAAAAATTTTCGAATGTAAGATAATAAAGATTTAATGTTATCTTTCACATATAAATTTATACACTATACATGCATGTTATATTTTTATTTGTATATATATATACATATAGTGTATTAATATAATAATTGCCATACGAATAAATAAATAAATAAATATATAATAATTGTCATATGAATAAATAAATAAATAATAATTTTAATAAGTATATAAAAAAATAGAAATTAAATAATATAATTAAGTATATTATTCGGTATCAGTAAATAAGAACTGTAAATTTCTTCGTTTTATTCCAAACATATTAATGACAACCTGAATGAAAGTATCCTTGTTTGCGTTAGGTTAAAATATTTGTAGTACCTATATTGTGATCTTTATAGATTTACCACAAATTATCTGCGATAAATTATTTTACGTATAAGTTATACAGACTACAGAACACGACCTATCTATGATGTTAATATACGATAACAATGAGTATATTTTTATATTTATTTCATATCTTAAAAGTGATTTCAACAAATAATTTGCCTCGGTAATAAGGTAATATTTTTTCCAGGGGGGGCAAGTGCCCTGTCTTGCCCCCCCCCAATGGGCGCCCATGTGTGTATTGTATATGAATACCTAATATAATCGTGCTATTATAATGTACTTCATAGCATTTTAGATGTTATCTTATTAAAATATTTTGATATTACATTAAATAAAATAAAACTTATGTAAATTTGTTTGTCTCCATATATTTATTCTAATACATGTAATTATAAATGGTACACTATAAATGACAATTTAATTAAGTAATTAAAATTTACATTAACCATTTGATATCTATTTTAAAATGAATAACATGACTTTCTAATAAGTTTCATACCAAATACCAAAATTAACTAATATAATTTTATATCGAAATAATCTCATTTTATCGGCAAAGACTCAATTTGAAAAGCCAAAACCAAAATGTTTTAGGGGCCTTTGTAATTACTGAGGAGCTTTACCAATAATGTTTAGTTTAAATTTATGGGGCACCTAGACCAACTTGCACCAGGGCACGCAAATATCTAGCTAAAGGCACTACGATAACGCAAGACTTATTTTGATTATTAACTATTCAACTAATAACTAAAAATGTATAACTTATTTATACTGACATGTTAATTTCAGTTTTATTCCAACGTAGGAATACATAGCAGAAAAAACTTAAACTTTTTAAAGATAATTTTTTTTTTAAAGATAATCAATATTTTTACCAACTTATACCTAAACATTTAAGCTTAACAACATTTAATTAAAAATTCAAGTAATATTTGTTTTATCTTTAATTTAATTGCGTATCATTATTTTATAATATAACAATTATTGATGGCGTTAGATTGTTATTTATTGGATTTGATTATTCATAAAATTGATGGTGCCAATTTAATTATCATAATTTATGAAAAATAAGATAAATATGAAAACAAAACTTTGATGAAATCTAATCACGAGAAAATGTAATTTGGTTACTATAAAATATAAACCATTTACATTGTGTTTGTTAAATTTTAATATCATTTTAAAACCTTAATATCTTGCATTATTTTCATGATACCTATGTTATAAGATATTAGAAAATAATTATAAAATGTAAATTTCATCAAAGATATGTTTGTAATGAACACTGTTAAATAATAATTTTAAAGTAATGAGTTAATTTAAATTCTAATCTTATGAATAAATATAAATATTTAACAATGACGAGTTTTTGTGTCCAAGAACACTATTTTTATTAGGAGAAATATCCGTATCCAGATCATTAACTTTTAGAGGTTTCTGGTACAAAATTAGATCTAATTTATACTTCCAAGGGTAAAAATAGAAATAAATTATTTAATATTTACCTTACTTTTATTTGTATTTAATATTCTTAAATCCTTTATATTTACAGCCAGGTTTACTAATAAATTAATCTAATCCTTTTGAAAATCATTGTTTCAAGACCTAAAATCAATTTATTATTACAGAAAATTGGATGTGTTAAATAAATATAACCGTTACCTATTAATGTTTACAAAAGCAAATGCATATTTCTTAAATTTATTCAAAAACTGTTAAATGTATGTTTTTAGATTATCTACTTTTTCAAACTATTATAACTAAGAATATACCAGGTTAAAATAATTTATATTCAAAACAAGATACCTCTCATATTTTTCCTTTTTCTAAACTATAATATAATTTTACAAATTCATACTTAGAGCGGCATATATTTAAAAGTGTTTCAAAATGTTCGTTTTTTTTAATAATGATTGAAAAAACATCATTCAAACCAATTATATTTTTTTCAATGTTGATTCTATTATTATTGTGTATTTTCTTCTTTGCTGTTTAATAATTTTAAAAGGTTTTATTTAATATAGTTTGTACATGAATGTATTCTCAAAATTTCAATTTCTATTATTTAAATAAAAAATTGTTGAGAACAACATAGATGTGTTTTATACAGCTACCTAAAAAACATATTAAAAATTAACCTCTTGTCTTTGATTTAAATATAACTCTATTTGTGTAACTAATTATGTAAGAAAGTTTATTTTTCATCAATTATTTTTAATTTGGATTCTTTATAACTTATAAATTATAAGTCACATCCATAGACCATCATATAATAGTGTACAATTATTTATAATAATTTTTAAACTAAGTATTTCTGTAATTGAATAATAATTCAAATAAAACTCATAAGTGTTCTAAACAATGTTTTTATGATTATCTTAATTAATTTTATTTTTTTGTAATTAATTAATTTAACTATTGTTTTCAAATTATTTTCTTAATTTTATCTTTTCCGATCTTATCTCTGTTAAATTAATTAGAAATAATATTTCCTAACAGAAAATAAGTGTAAGTGTGCTAGGAATGGTACATTTAGTCTACTTGTAAAAGTCTTAATCAAATCAAACCGAATGTAAAAAAATAATATAATTTAATATTGTTTATAATAATTAAGCAGAAACATTTCTCTAATTGTGCTCGTTAAGCCCGTTAATAACCATTTAATATTTATATTTAAAAAATGTATATGAATACAAACATTTAAAAACACCAATTGTAAATTTATTAAAAATGTATGTAAATTTGAGTTATTCACAAAATTTATAATTGTAGAATTAAGTAATTTATATTTCATTCATTAACTAAAACAGTGTACCTACTATGTAAGTGAGATAAAAGTTAATGGATAAATTATTATGTATAACATACTTAAATTCCAATAATCAAAAGTCATGTGTTACAGAATACATCTGAAATTTTAAAAATAATTGTCTAAATTACTTTTAATTGTACATATATAAAAGGGCAACACTATCGTCTTTGATATGGATGATGTTGAACTTGTCTGTTTTTATGTTGAGGCTGAGTTTCATGTGGGTGATACTGTCCAGGCACTGAAGAAATCATGTTCGGAGACAGAGAAAACATAAAGTTTGCATACGATTGAGCTGCATTCCAAAGTGTAGGATAAGGGTTCATCCGAAGAAAACCATATGGTTGTGGTTGCATGGTGAATGGTAGCAATTGAGTAGTAACACCTTGTGGCATTAACATTTGATTTGGTGCTAGTGGATGAGGTGGTAGCGATGAGAGTGGTGCTAGTTGCAATGTAGGCAGTGGTGGTCTTGTTGATTGAAGTCGAGGAGGTCTTTTTATGGATGACTGTTCTAATAACAATTTTGGTGATGAGGGTGGTGATGGCAAAAATGGTTTTTGAATATTTTGCGGTTTTGGTGTAACATTAAAAATTGATGGTTTAATTCCTGGTGGCATGGGTAATAATTTCTTGGCCGGCAAAGTATCTGATGTAGTCATTAATTTCACATGTTTGTTTATAGCTGCTTCTATCTCTTGTTCAGATGTGAGCACTACAAAAAAAAACAATGATACGAAAAACATTCAAACACTATAGATCTAAAATATTCCGTTAAAAGTCTTATTACAACAAAATAATAATAGTGCACAAATAAAAACTCACTGTATTTATCAACATTTTTTTGCAACAATAGTTTCTGATTACTGGATTTTGAGGGTACAACTTTTTTTGGAACAATTGATTTGTCCTGACATGGAAGTGATGGTGGTGTTTTCTTATTTGGAATTGAATAAACATCTAAAATTTGATGACATATATCTAAAAAATATAAAATTATAAGTTGATTGATAAATTATACATAATATACTGCAAAAAAAATTCTCACAATCGACGATGATGAAAATATAAGACTGCTAAAAAATTTTTATTTAAAAGTAAGGTTTAATTTTTTTGCTCTTATAATGATCATACTTTTAAAAATGAAGCATCTTTAAAAATAGCAGTGAATGTCACTAAAATGTTGTGTCTATGCCCTAAGCTAGTTTCAAGGCTATAGGTTCTAAATTATTAACCTATAGGTACAATGTTTACATTATTGACCACAAATAAAGCGCAACAACCTACATATTATGATTATTATTCTAATTAATAAATGTATAGTGCTTAAAATTTTAATAATTTTTTTTTAGTTCTGGTAAAACTTTTTATTTTTAGTGATATAATATAACTAACCTTCAATTAAATCCTTGTTCAATCCTTCAACAAACATATCCCACCAATGTAATTGATTTGGAGTACGATCCTGCCAATCTATAATTTCTAATTTACTCAGTTTACATGCTAGATATATTAATGAAATTGCTATAATCTCTGGTTCCCATTGAAGACAAAGTGTTGTACATAAGCTGTAATATATAATTCTTACTTTAGAAACAAATGTAATTAACTGATTAAGATCAGAGATAGA